GTTGGCCTGGATGTTGGAGGAGCCGGTCCCATGCCACTCATCTCATCTACCATGGGGCCTCGTTTTCTTGCACATCGTCTCATTGGTTGCCATTCTTGGACTGGATCTTGAGCTCGTATCCATTCTGCATAGGAGGGTACTTCGGTGGACACATCCAGAAACTCGTTCCCCCCAAGTTGTTGAGCTACTCTATCAAAGTCCCAGTCATCATATTGTTTGGCATGTAGTTCTTCTAAGAGGACCTCCCGCTCGGAGGCTCGACGTAGTTGCTCTGGGGAGCACTTGAGAAGTCTTCTCCCTCTGACGCACCAAATTGAGCTGCCCTGCTTGTGGGTCCCGTCGGGAGAGCGATGTTGCTCCACCGCCAGGATGCGGGCTGGCCCCACAAACGAGCCACCTTTAATGGCTGCTTGGCCGCTCACTTGCTTTCTCCACACATACACTAGATCTCCTGGCTCATAGTTGGTGACATCTCCTTGGTGTTGTTTAGCTGTTGCTTGGTAGCTCTTGGGTGGTTCTGACAGTCTTTTACAGTTGCCAGGCTGGAACCTATAAGAGATGTCCAGTTGCTTGGTGAGTTGCCAGACCAAGGAAACCAGGAGATCTATGTGTGGTGGCTTATTATTATGACAGACTCCAGAGCAATCCCAAGACATGAATGATTGCAAATGGGATATTATTATATATTATTATTAAATTAATTAATATGGTTATCATCTTTGATTCACAGGCATTGAACCCCACCCCTTGACTTATATTATTATCAACTTAAACTTAACCCTGCCATTTCCAGCGCGCTGCCAGTCAAGCATTTTTTTGTGCTGTCTCAGGTTTAGGTCAAAAACTAGCTTACTCCGTCGACGAGACTAAGCTAAGCCTAATTTCTAAAGCGCCTGGGCTGCTTGACCCCGTGTCAGTGCGGACTCTTGCCACTGACTTGTCAATGCCACTGACTTTTCAATGCCGACTCTTGACTTAAAAGTCAGCGAAGCTCGCGCAGTGTGGCTTGCCACATCTCGACCAACAGGTCCTTTTTACTGCTGGGCCTGGATGAGTCAGCTCCTCCTGACCCGGGGTCAGGATCGTCCCTGTCGTCTTTGCGCCGCTTTCGCTCAGGGTCGGTTCGGTCAGGTGGCGGTGACCTGGGTTTCTTGCCCTTGCCTTTCTGCTGACCCACAGGCTCAGGGATCTTCACGTTCGTTTCATCGTCTCCTGGCCCTGTTTTGTTCTCTTCCCAGAGCATCTGGCTCCAACGCTTAGCGTCGGCCATGCACTGACCCCAAGCTTTTTTTTCACTTGTGGAATAATAAATCCACGATGCCAAGTGGAACGGAGACCGGCGATGGGAAAAATTTCCCTGCAGGCCCCCGCCCACGTTGCGTCCGCAGACGGTGCACTTGTACGACCCAGTCTTACTAAGGTGTCAGGTTTTTACTTATATCTCCTTATAAGCACTAGTTACAAAAGTTATGTAAGTAAAAAAAGTACTTAGCTCGGACTTAGGAAAACTTACAAAACTAGGTTTTTTCTTCATTTTTTCGTACAAGCTAGGTATGTTGAAAAACGCGGTGACATATAGCAAAAAAAACATACTTTGTTTAACATTACCTGCGGTTTTCACCGGCGAAACTTTTCTATCATGTTCCACGTGAGTTTATCATCTCTCATCGGTTATCACCGTTGATATATGGTTCAATGTTTAGTTCAAAAACTTCGCTGCATCTGTCCATGAGCCATGTCCCAAGTAACTTGGGAAGATCTTTCACTTCCGATTGAAAGGAAACTTGGATCCTCTTGACAATTTTTATCTATTTTGTAAACGTCCACAACAGTAGCATGTAGAGTTTGGCAACTTTTTCAAGCCTTTTTCAAATGAGTGGCATTGTGAGGACAGAGCATGCCAGAGGCATACAACATGTCCTCTTTAAGACGCATTGGGTGCTTCACAACGGTGTTCCATACTACCGTTGCGTTTACATGGATGGAAACTACAAGGAGTGCCTGTATATGAAACGTGGCATTTTTTGTTTCCCACTTTTCAGTATTGCTGAGTCTTGACTTTATACCTCTAATCGAATGATTTTTGCAGCCCAGGCAACCGTTGCATTTCTTCACGAAGATTTGGGGGCTGAGTGATGAAAGCTACAAAGAGGTTTGGGAAACCGTTGTGGAGATGTGCGCTGATGAGCAGGCAGCCAGACCTTTATTGCAGTGAAATGCTAATTCATATTTAGCTTTCTGTGGTTTGTGAACTTACCACCCTCCATTTTAAAGGCAAGAGACAGCTTGAGATCATGGATGGAAAAAAGAAGCGCTATGTAGGAAGCGGTCATCACCGCTGGCGGTCGTCACCGCAGGCGGTCATCACCGCTGGCGGTCTTTACCGCAGGCGGTCATCCCCGCTGGCGGTTCTCACCGTTTTGGGGCTGGGGGGGTCATGAGCGTATACCAGCGTATACCACGCGTATACCACGCAAATACCAAGCGTATACCGCGCGTATACCACCGTATACCACAAAAGCCTCGCGTATACCACGCGTATACCGCGCGTATACCACAAAAGCCTCGCGTATACTGCGCGTATACCACGCGTATACCAGCGCACACCAGCGTATACCAGCGTATACCAGCGTATACCGCGCGTATACCAGTGTATACCGTGCATATACCAACTATATATATATATATAATATATATATACCAAAGCCACTGCAATGATGTTGCACTTGTTTTGATTGGATCGGAGGTTGGGTCATGTAGTGGCTATACACTTGTTGGGCCTTTAGTGCACGATATGCTATTTAAGGGGGGGTACCCACATGTATATGGTCCAATCTTTCATATACTCTTCAATGTCCATTTACCCCTGCGTGATGGGAAACAAATTGATCACCTGACCAGAAGTGAGAACCCAAAAAACAATACAAGATCATAACTAGATATCAAACCAGGATACAATTTCATATCTCAACATTTTTGACACAAGTGTCCTGCAATGTCCTCTGGAGCGACATTTCAAAGCATTTTAGGACACTTGTGAAAGACAGTAAGAATGTAAAGTGCTGCCCACCTATCCCATCTTTTTAGTTTGTCCACGGTCATTACCGTCTCACTGGCAAAATGTGCTGTTCTGAAACTTTCGAAGTGTTTCTGATGAACTGTGTTTCTGATGAAATGTTTCTGATTGTTACTGTTTGCAGTCCATATATATATATATGTCTTTACCTGCCAGATCCATATAGGAATCAAACGGGCTGAACATGCTCCTCTCAATGCTGTGCACACCTTTTTGGACTAGGTTCTGCACAGACGCCTCATATGCAGAAACTAGATATTGCTCACCACCACAATGACTTTTAAAAAACAAACGCTGTTTTTCAATCAATATACGCAATTTCCCCTATTTATTCCCTATCATGTGCGCACGCACGCGTGAGCGTTTATAAACGCAAATCAAACTTTGTTTTTTTCGTAGAAATGACTGCTTTCTTGTTGAACAAAAGGATTGAAAACGGGGAATGCCATTTTTAGCCATTTATGACAACAAAAAACAACAAAATGAAATGCGCAAAAAAAAACACCCCAAGAAACTTACAAAAGTTAAGCTCTAAATTTTAGATTTTTTTATCTACTACTTATAACTAGATACAAGTAAAAACCTGACACCTTAGTAGGGTCGCCAGGTCCGGAGCGTGGGCAATTGGCAGGCTCTGGGGGTCTTTCTGATCCCTGACTGGTTTTTTTCAAACCAGCAGGGCCCTCAGTCGTCGCTGCCTTAGCAGTAGAGGCAGTGCACTCATTTTCGTCTGAGTCGACTGTCACTGCTTTTGGCACTGTGGACCGTGGTCCGTCCTCGACCTCAGCGTCTTCAGCCCGAGGTGCTTCTTCCTCGGCGGATTCCTCGTCGTCGTCGTCGTCATCAGGCTCGACGACTGGCGCCGACTTGCCCGGAGGCGCCGGCTCTGAGGCCATAGCCTCTGGCCGCTTTTCAGCGCCGCCAGCTGTCGTCGCCGCTTCTGCCGATGCAGGCCTCAGCACGGCCTTGCCCGGAGCCTCGACGCTTCTGCGACGACGGTCCCTTGAACGACTCTTTGTCTCAGTGCGCCGTGCACGACTGCGACCACGACGACTTGAGTCGTCTCCACGGCGGTCAGACCCGCGGTCTGAGTGGCGGTCCTTCTTATGAGACCGATCTTTGTCGTCACCGCGGTCTTTCTTCTGGTTCTTCTCCGCCATCACGACCTGACAGGACGCGAGCAGACAATTGTGGTTTTAACTAAAATTAAGAGTATATTATAAGAGTTTGATATCATTGCCAGGACCATGCAGATCAATTGTCATTTGCTTGAAAATAAGGAGTCCGTAGACTCTAGTCCGTAGACTTTCCCTCGAGTCCGTAGACCCAGTAGTCCGTAGACTTTTTAAAATAAACTCCGTAGAGTTGGACAGTCCGTAGACTTTAGATTGGAGTCCGTAGACTGAGTTGAATGTCGTCCGTAGACTTAGATTCTTTCAGTCACTTCCAAGTGACAATTGATCCTTGGTCCTGGATTCAATTCTTAATTTATTTAATAGGAAATAAGAAGTGAATTGCTGTTGGGTTTACACTGTGAAGATGGCCCTGCCTTCTGCAGGGCCGCCGCGGCTACACACAGCAGGCTGCGCGGGTCGCAGACGCTAACCATTGACTGAGCCAAACACCTTGGAAAATGACGTGACAAGTTGACTGTCAAAAGTAAGTGCTGGTTCCTGCAACATGTCCTGATGTGCAATTTAATTTTTGAGTCTGAATTGGATTCTTGTTCAACCCTTGCATTTCCATCGCATGATAATTGATTAAACAATGATTCATTATTATTCTCACAGAAGTATGTTTACTGGTTGGGCCGCAGTCCATTTTAATCAACAGAAGTATGTTTATTGGTTGGGCGATGCGTCTTTTTTCTTCTTCTCGTCAGGCTTGGTGGGAAGACTGTACCGGCCGTCTCCTAAAAACCCTTCTACCGCAGCTCTTTCAGTGTGGTTTGCCACATTTGCAGCAGCAAGTTGCTACCGGAGGACCCTGATCCTGTGTCCGGGTCAGGGTCTTGGTGGTCTTTGTCACGGCGGGAACGTTCCGGGTCGCATCTCACTGGAACTGGAGACCTTTGCTTTTTCTTAGGCTTGTTGGGCAATGCGTCATCCTCCGGACCTGTTTGGTTCGTCGCCCAGAGGTGCATGCTCCAGCGTTGCCCTTCCTGGAGACAATTCTTCCAGGGAAGGGTCTCTTTGTTGTTCCAGTAGACATAAGAAGCCAAATGGTGAGCTGACCGGCGATGTTGCCACGAGCCGGCAACTCCACCTCCGACTTTGCGGCCGCAGATGCTGCAGTCATACCGACGAGTCTTGTCGTCGTTCCCACCTTGGTGACGCTTGTCATCACACCAAGCTTGGTGAGATTTGTGTTCCTCATCAGGTTTGTGACCTTGGTCACGCTCAGACGTCTCACCTTGGTGAGGCGGCTGGTCACCTTCGCGACGCGCCACCGCCTCAGCCTTGGCTGGACCTGGACGGGCTGCCTTGGCAGCCTCCCTGGTCGGGGACTCTGGCGCGGCGCGCTTTGCAGGTGGCTGTACGGGTGGGTCCTCAGCAAGAACCGACTCCTCCTCACCTTCTTCGTCGTCGTGCGACGCCTTAGGAGCTGCAGCGTCCGCAGACGGAGCAGGAGGCGGAGCAGTTTCAGCTGGGACTAGGAGAGGCTTGCTGCCGTGAGACTTGTCAGTCTCCCTACGCCGCCCTCTGTCTCGGCTACGGCCTTTCTTTTTTTCCCGTTTCTTTTTTTCCCGTCTGTCACGGCTTCGACCCCGTTTCTCCTCGTCTTTTTGGCGATCACCACGGTCACGGCGGTCGCCACGACGACGAGAACGTTCAGTGGTCATCAGCCTGGCAGCAGTGGGGGAGGACGATTGGGTTTAATATATTTAATAACTGTGTACCGTACATATCATATACATATTTTTTTTTGGTGGGTTTAGGAAGATTCGCGATTAATATTAATTTATATTTTTTTAAATTGGGTATGCAACTTTCACCCTCGCCTACTTGGTCTCAGCGGGCTCCTCCGAGCAGCGGGGTCGCAGCCACAGTCTCAGTTAACTTGAGCCAGAGCACCCTGGGCAACCAATAATAAAAATGAAATGTTTCAGTGTGTCACTCAGTGTCAACATCTGAGCGAGACTGCCGTGTCAAATCATGTGAGACACTTGCAAGCACAATTTGACAATGCTTCTTTTTTACACCCCTGCCTTGTTTGAGTTTCACTCAGTGGGTTTGCCGATTGTTCTCCAAAATTGGAGGGAAGCCGTTGGAAAAAAAACAGTATGAAATGATCTTTTAAAAGAGATTCTGGATCAAAAGAGATTCTGGTTTGTTTTGGGTGGGAACGGGTCCTAAGTTATAATATAGGGTGCCAACACTGCCCCTGCCCCACACACACACACGTCTACTTTTTCACCTCCTCATGAAAATTGGCTTCGGTGAGGCACGTTTGCTTGGGGAATCCGAGGCAGCCTGTTTCCTTTTTAAGTGGGCAACCGTTGAATCAACATAAGCGTTGAGGGTTCTGATGTCACAGCTGAACTTGCCAAACAACTTCAGCTGAACCTGCTGCCTCAGATCCCCCAGCTTCATGTTGTCATCCTCATTCAAGATGTCGGTCACACAGACCTTCACCATTTTCATGTCCTGACATGAGTTGACAGGTACAGTCATGATTGCCATGCTTTTCCGTGTCCATGCTGTGCATGCTTGCCATGTATGCCATTTTTACCATGTAACCAAGCTGACATGTTTGCCATGCATGCCATGTTTGTCATGTAACTGAGCTGACTTGTTTGCTACCATGCATTACCAACCGCAAAGTCCCTGTCCATGTCCTCTGCTGCATCTTTCTTCTCTGTTTTCTCTTCCTTGTCTTCCTTCTCCTTCTTCTCTTTCTTCTCTTTCTTCTCTTTCTTCTCTTCCGTATCTTTCTTTACCTTCTTCTCTTTCTCCGCTCCTTTCGCCTTCTTTTCTTTCTTTTCCCTCTTATCTTTCTCCTTCTCCTTCCTATTCTTTTTCTTTTCGATCTTCTCTTCCTCTCTGCTGGCTATCTCATCATCCATTGCAACCTGCGAGGGGGCATGCAAGTGGGACATGCACAACTATGTTGGACATGCGCAACATTTCAAAACTATATGGGACATGCAACAAAATATGGGACATGCTACAAACACAAGCATGCAACTTGCAACTGTGAGGAACATGCTGCGGTCGTTTTCCATGCCATGCCAAATCAATGCTTCATCAGCCGGTGGGCTCTGTACAAATTTCCCCGGGACGTGTTGGAAATGGTCAAACCAGTGACATCAATGCCATCTTCCATGAGGCGATCAAAGACGGAAAAGGGAAGTTTGTTCTCTTCTTCAAGCTCAAACCCCCACAAGAGGACTTTTTCCGAGCTGATCACCGATGGGGGCAATGGCTCCAGGTTTTGCACGACCACTTGCTCGCTGGGGACCCAGGGTCCAAAAACGTCCAGTATTTGGCGTTTCCTTCCTTGACGCATGCTGGCCTCCTTAGCCATCTCAGGATGCCACCATTCGACAATTGCAGACTGCTCTTCATGGTCTATGTCGATCACTTGGCCGAGAACGAACTTGAGCTTCCCGTGCTTATGCTTCACAATCACGAAGTCCATGTTGACACAGCACAGGTCAAGAGCTGGCATAACATTCTCTGATCCATGGGTGGTCTCCACCGTCATCAAGCTTTCCAATGGAAGACCTGGAATGTCAGCTCCTGACGCAGATGGGGGTTTTAAACTACAAGATAGCATGGTGACAACGTGACAACGCAAGGAAGGAGTCCTGGGCAGTTGGCGTACAGAATGTCAGCAGGCACTTCGTGGAGAGTGTCCACCATAGTTCTGCACGCAGTTCCACGGTTTGCCATCTCAATTTCGGAGATCATTTGCTTCAGCGGCATCACATAACCCATGTCGGTGGATGTGTGTTTTTTCAGCCACTTCATGCCTTCCTTCTCTTTCTCTCCCAGCATGTTGGTTGAAGCCATCAGCATCTCAAATTTGTTCAAGAAGTCTTCGAACTTCGCTTTTTGAGTATCAGAGAAAGAGTGTTGGATTGGGTCTGGCACAGCCTTTGCCACAACATGGATGTGCTCTGGACGTACTAGCAACCGAGGCTTCGACCAAACATCATCACTCATGTACTGCTTCCATCTGCAGAAAATTCCACCCTCCGACCTGAAGAGCTCAAGGTCATGAACGTTTCTCAGGTTGTGGCAATCTATGCCCAGCAGTGACCGAAGACCTTCAAAGTTGAGAGATGCCGCCAAGTGATTCCAACGAATGTTGTAGCTTGGTAGAGAGTCCATGATGATCTTGGCCATGTCCTTGCTTGTGGTTCCAGGTGCTATCCGGCACGCAAAAAAAAACAAACAGAAACTCGAGGATTATTGTCAAAAGGTGACTTCACTTGCAAACCAAGCAGCAGGTTCTGACAAATAACTCTTGCCAAGCAGTGCAGCCTTCACACGTGAAAATGCCCTGTCGCAGTGCGAATGGGTATGACCGACAAGCTTATACACGGTGCGAACCCGCCATAGGCGAGTATGCTGCAAAACTGCAAGTAGCCATGTCATAAAACAAAAGGTGATCCCGTTTTTTGTCTCTTTCACTGTGTTGTCGGCGCTCAAGATCACACTCTCAGGGACGCTGTTGGTCTGAACACACTTGGAATGTAGGTTCATGAAAAGCAGGCTCGACTGCATATTCCCACCATGTTTGCTATCTTCCCAGGTAGTTGTGAAAGTCAAGTCGTCATGGCCACCAGTGCCAGACCAAATGGATGCCACCAGCCCGATGACCATGACGTGCCCAGTTTTCATAAGCGGAATTGACCGCCTTAGATTTAGCAAATCAAAGCAGCACTGAGGTAGATTGCCTTGCGCGGCCAAGAAACATGCTGTGCACACAGGGCAGATTGGTCTTCGATTGATCCATCTTATCAACCTGCACATGCCTTAGCCACCCACTACACACGACATGAAAGCTAAATCATGACTGCCATGCTGTTCCGCTACCATGCTGTTCATGTTTGCCATGTTGTGCATGTTTGCACATTATACTCATGCAATAGCATGATTGATCATGATTGCCATGTTGCCATTCTGTGTTGTTCGACCTCCTTGCCCCTTCCGTGAGTTTCTCATCTGCCAGCCTTTGGCTAGCTTGGAAGGAGTAATGTCTGCCCAGCCGATACCGAAGAGCTTGAAGCAAAGCATCCTGCTCACGACCAGTTCCTGCTATCAAACCTTGCAAGAACTTGCAGGCAGCACAAGCTACAAACATGCTGGTGCGAGAAGCGATCTGCACATGGAATGCCTCACACCGCCATGCTGCCATGAAAGTCTTCTGGTCGGCCGCCTGGCCATCCAGATGGGCCAAGTCCCCATCTAGGGATCGCTCAAAAAGGTAGAGGGCATAGTATTCACTTCTGCGACCCCATGGAAGATATGTGCATCCTGTCATTGGTGATTGCTCGCCATACAGCTCAGCGTGCTTCTCCAACCAGGCTCGTGCGTCCTTGGTGACCAGGCACATGAGAAGCCAAATGGGAGACAAAAATAAAAAGGAATTGCAAAAATACTTTTCCATGCCAAGGATCCAAGTACCTGGGTGCCCGGGGAGCATTCCGGATCTCTAACCATTGTCCAAGTTCAGCCCTGTTGAGGGCAGTAACTTGTTTCTTTTGGATTGCTTCCCGAGCGTTCTGCAGCACTTTGGAAGAGACGCCCGTCAACAGTTGGAATGCTTTCTGGCACGCAGACACTCCCAAGAAACGAAATGTGCTTGTGTGACCTTCTGTGTCCTTCATGAACTTGATGAGTTTCTCAAAACGTTCAGGCTTTGGCAAGCTGGCCCAAAGCAACCGAAAATTTCTCACAAGCTGCGGTGTCTGCCTGAAAAGACAGAGACATTCGTGGGAGGCTTTGCCTTTGGAACATTCTTCGCTGATTGCCTTGCTGATATTTGCTAAGTCACAATAGGCTTGGAATCGCAAAGAGTGTCTCATGCGAGCTGCACGGCTTTGGTTGAACAACATGGGACAATCAGAACCAAGGATTGTTTTGCAGGCGCGAAGTGCCCGCTCCGCGCGCTGGTATTTCTTCTCTTGGGGGAGAGCCTCACAAAGAATGCATCGAGAACTTCAACCCCAAACATAGCATGAGTACTTTAAGAAAGCTCAGACCAAGGAACAAGGTAGGCTTCATCTTGTTTTGACAGCTCAGCTAAAGCCATTTGCCGGGCGCGTGCTGCGTCAGAGCTTGCGGCTGCGCCAGCATCACACAGCGCAGTGAAGACTTCAACCAAATCATGCGTTGGTTCATCAAAAGGCTTCCAAGATGAAAGGCACTCAATGAGTTGCATCTCCTGGGCTGCTCCATGTTCAAGCCAAGGGTCGATGCCTGCACTTGTTGGGTACTCGGCAAGACCTGCGTGGTCATCCTCTTTGCTTTCAGCTTCGTCAGGTTTCAAGGCCCAGAAGTGGTGGTCATTTACTAAAGCCACAGGGATCAACCTGAGCCGAAAGAAGAGAAAAGGAACCGAGATCCAAGCCTCAAAGTTTCATGCCGAGGAACTCGCAGTCATCCACTGCATCATCCATAAGACTTTGTCCAACCAACGCCATTGACCCGTTCATGAGGACAGCCACATCCACTTTGAAAGCGCACGCAATTCCATGCAACAATGCGGTATCTCCCCATACATGTGCGACTTTCATGCGCGTAGACCACCTTTCCAAGCAAAAAGCAGCTGGTGTATATACACAAGCTGCAGCACTCACATCCGAAGCCAAAACCGAGGACCCCGCTTTGCTACAGTCTCCCCTGACACAACACGAACCAGATCACCAACGGTGAAGGATTCCCACATCTCTTTGGATGAATTGCTGACCTAAGATGAAGAAGGCAAGAAAATTAGCCTGTCAATGTTTGATCATCAAAGTAATATTCAAATAGTGTATGAAGCCAAGGGTCTACCCAATCCACGCCCACTTTGCGACACGCCCTGATCTTCTCTTCTTTGGTTTTGGATTGCCGGATTGTAGTCCATGGAGCTCTCCGCAGTGACCTTGGCCGGGAACAAGCTGACTTGCAGAACAGTGAAAAGCTACAAGCCAACCAAAAACAAGTTCACAAAGCCCCTGACGCTATCTTTTTGTTTGAAAAAGAGGACGTGATGAAGGCATCCAGCAAGCAGTCACCATCAGAAACGGTGTTCACAACCTCCATGTCATTTTCAGCGGCCTGGTATATTACAAAGCAAAGAGGGCTAGTAGTCAGTACATTCTAGCATTCAAAGCCAGGCCTGATCTTGAATCCACGCGGGGCACTGGATCCCAATTTTTTGACGTTTCTCTGGCTGATACTTCTCGGCCCATTGAGGGCAGAAAAGGGGCTGCAATCCTTTTTCCATTGGCGCAAAAGTCAACACAGGCTTTAGAGATGAGCATGCTGAAGTGGGAACATTGAATCTCATTGGCATGATGTTTAGGTGTAGCATGGCTTGCTTCCTGTGGAAGTTAAGCAGCTTGGAATGGTATGCATGTCAACTTGTAATTCATTCATGAGAACATGTTGAACCATCAATGTGCTTTCCATGCATGCAAGCAATGGATCAAGCATGAGCTGTGAGTGGAAAACACAACCATGAAACCAACATTCATGTGCAAAAAAAAACAGTCATTTTTCAAGGTCTGCGCGTCCTGAGTGCATCTCTATAGATGCCACTGCGTGTGTTTCCATGGCGCCAAAACGCCAGAGGCCACTTGACTTGGCGTGTAAGAGTGTCAAGGCAATCAACCATTGCCGCCTCCAAGCTGCACCATGTTCTAAGAGTCATAACTCTCATCCCGAAGCCTTTCCAAAGGCGGCCAAGAGGTTCTTGCCACTCACAGGTGGTGCTGGCGAGGCCGTGCCAGCCGGAGTCTCTGATGCTGACGAGGCCGGTGATGGAATCGGCGGGGACCTGCATGCAAATAAACTTCAGTCGTAACTTTGGTACGGAAAGCTACATGCACACATGCAAAAATCAAATGCGTGTAAGATTCTGAGTTGGGCTCGGAGCAGGCTTCGGCTTTGCCACGGGCTTTGGAGCCGGGCTGACACCATGGGTCTTCTCAAAGTCAAGCAAAACCTACAACACCATGAGCAACATGACAAATTTGATCAGCAATTCGGAGAACCACCTACCATGCATCCAAGACACCTGAGGTTTGGGCAGCGATGTAACGTTCACCAGCCGCTTTTGCTTGACCCAGTCAACCAGGTTCTGCATCACCCATTTGCGGTGGTTCTGGGACCTCACAACTCCAACCGCGCGACCGTTGGAAAGGAGAACGCCAAGAAGCTTGGCCCCAGAGCCCACCGACAGGTCGATCAAAGTAGTCCCACTGGCCCCTCCGAACACCTCGAGGAACTCTTGGCACAACGTCCAGTGATGTTCGTGCGGGTAGGGAATTACCTTGCTCTCATCAATCGAAATGCCCATTCCACCATCATCCGCTCCATCTTCGGCCATCTCACGGTCAGCCGTAACGTCCTGCATGCGCTTGTTGGAGAAGGGTAAGCCACAAAAAGTACGGAAAATCTTCTTTAAATGCAACCCAAGGCACTGATTCCCACATTTTTTCATACGCTTGCTCTTCGAGCTGTTTCAGGTCGCTCACTGGAATCAACTTGACCGGCCAGCGATTGAAAAACGTGTCGCCTTCCAGGTATGTCATCGCCCCACACTTGGCGTTGGCAATACCCTGGACCGACGTTGCAACGAACCTGCTTTCAACGCGAGAGCCAAAAGCTTTGCGGCCCCTCTTGAAGCGCTGCAAGCTATCCGATGCACTTGGCTCGATCTGGCCAACAACCATGGTGTGCTTCTTGGCGCCGGTGAGCTTGGTCAACTCTTGCTTCACCACGTCCAAAGCCGACCGGACCTTCAAAGCATCCACCTCTACGGTGCAAATCCAGCATGACAGCTTCATGCATGTCGTTACATGGTCTCGTGGAGAGAATTGACATGACAAGAGGTGGGGACATGATGTGGCGTGACATGACATGAACTGCTGTGGAAGTAGCTTGAATTGACATGACATGATCTGAGTTGACACATGATGACATGGCATGGCATGACATGACATGGCATGTGTTAACTTTACATGACACAATCTGAGTGGACATGACATGACATAACGTTCCACCAAGCTAAGCCTTGCATGTCACAATCAGCATTGATCGGTCTTTCAGGTCTTGGTCTCCTTCGCGGGTACGGATCTCCTGGCCATCAGTACTGCAGGATGCATGATTGAAAAACAACACAACACCTAGCCTCGTATGTGTGGACGACAGTCTCAAGCCGACTCTTTGAAACACCAGGGCCAACTCCACCAAAGGGGTTGAGCCGCCGCTGTTTCACTTGGGACCATGAAGTGCACCCATCACACTCAACATTGTAGACGCAAAGCTTGCGCTTTGCTTCCCTGGCCAAATTCTGCTTGCAGATTTTGGCCGGCAGGTCATTGTCCAGCTCGCTGACCACAAAAGCCACCCGATGAAGGATATATTCCTTCACTTGGTCCAGTTCGTTTTCCTCAAGCTTTTTGAGGTAGTTGGCCAATTCCATGTCGTATTCAGACCGGTCGGCGACACGGGCCGTTCTGATGACTTCCAAGTCTTGGTGAGTGGTCTTGTGGACATCAGTGCTCTCTGTTGGCTGTGGGAAATCTTTTTCATATTTCCCTGTGATCTCGGCCAAAATGGTCTTGAGCTGTTCATCCTGCCAAAGAAGCAGGCAAACAAACAAACAAGAATCAAGAACATCAAGAACCACGGGAAATGAAAGCAGAAACACACCACTTATGGCCTGAATCGCAAGATTCAACGATTTTCCGATGATTGCGTCGCTGGCAAGTCGGCACAAAGCGCCCTCATAGCCATTGCGCATCAGTTTCTCCTTGAAAAAAGCCACTCATCAAAAAATGCATTAGTTACATTGGTTTCTAGAAGGTTGAACTTTTGGTACCCGACACATTCATTCTAGGCACGCATAGCTGTGTCAGTGGCTTCAAGCAACTGTAGCTAGATGCAACAGGCTCTTCACCGTGAGGAGCTTTCTCGGCTGCATCTTCATCCTCATCGTCGTCCATGGGGGCCTTGTTGCCCAAGCTGTTGCCAAACTCATCCACACTGTATGTCGTAGTGAACCAAGCAAAAGTGCCATAGTCCGTCAAGTAGTCAGACATTTTTGGAAAAATTCCCTTCAAGTGTGTGATGTAGTCTCGTCTCACCAAGATCGCCTTGAGCACCTTGCCTGAGAGACGGCCCAGACAAAGGTCTGACAAGAAATTGCAAACTTAGGTCCAAAAGGTCAATTAAGGCAGGTGCCGAGGTCATACCTTTGGACTCCGGTCCTGTGTTGTGTCAATGCCTTTCGCAAGCCAACAGCTTTTTCAAGAAGAAGAATTCGGACGATGTAGACAAGGTCGCAGGCAGGCACATTCAGACCTCAGAGACTTTTTGGCGGTCCATCCCAATTAATTAAGTACCCCAAGAAATTGAAAATCTGAAAAAGAGGTGCAGGTGCATGTGCACATGCAAGCAATTTGCTCATGAGGCTTCTCAGCGAAGTGATCCCATCCAACACTGACTCCCTTCCAAAGCGATGCTCCATCAGGTCCTTGGACACACGCGTGTCAGAAAAATCAGGATAGAAATGCAAAAATGTACATGATATAAACAAGATGAGGCCAGGATCCATGGCATCCCTGAGGTCCGGCATGTTCTTCAGCTTCTTCCCAAGTTGGCTGTATCGAGTGGTTGTGTCCTTGTTCCTGGACATGCAGCATATCACGCAGCACCCTACATCTGAGATGGAATCAGAATGGCATCCACAAGTAATCAAGTCAAGGTTCCACCCCTTCATGTGGGATTCACCCCCTTTCTCTAGCAACTTGACAATGGCAGCTTCTTCGTTGTCAGCATTACCCATTTCAGTGGCCATGCCACCCACCATTTCTGACAAAATGATGCACTTGTTGGCAGCGCTCAAGCCAATTACCTTGCGATCCCGCTCTTCCTTCTCAACAATGCCTGACGGCGCCCCAACATGCCAACAATAAAGCTCTGTGGGGCGTTGAAATCAAGATTTTCGGCCCGACAAAGCATCAGAAGACCCAAAAAAAGCTTGGTTTGACAATTAAGTAGCCAAATTTGGCAAGGTCGAAGCTGGAACCGGTTCCACAAGATACAAACTCAAAGACCACGTCAGTCAACGCTTTGACCACCCAGTAGTTGACATGCTCTTGCTCTTTGGTCCAGTAGGCAAGCAGCACAACAGCTGCAATCCTGAAGAACACCGTTGATTTGGGGGTGACGGCTAATAAATTTTGAGACAAATGGCAAAGTGGTGTAAGCTAAGCGTAGGACTCCGAATCGCCATTGAGGCGCACAAGCCCTTCAGCATTCTCGCTGGTCCACAGGTCACTGTTGATCTGAATCGTTGGGACCAGTGCCCCAACAGTGCTAGGATTTCCATTCCAAGACTCCAAGACACCTTCAATGCGGCAAGTCTGCCACACATTCCTAGGAATTGAGTCGACCATGTAAATACTAACACATGCAATAAGTATTTGTGCAAGCATGCAAGCTACATGCAGCAAGGAAAAATCATTCCAAGTTTCAAGGCCCTGGTGGACAAAGCAAGCTGTTTCAAAGAACCACCTGATTGGATTCGGAGACTGTTACCCAGCGCGGCCTTGATGTCGTCAGGGGTCCGCACAGGTGACTTGATGCCTGGGACGTCATCAGGCATGGCAGCCATGGCCCAAGCCTGAAGTCAGTGGCAAATGGATGTGAAAGGTGGGAAACCCAGCCTGTTCTACAGAAAAAACCTGAAGGCAAGGAGCAAAAGCACCTGCCATGTGATGATCGAAACCATCTTTCATAGCATCTTTCAACAGGCTCTTGACATCAAGTTGTACTGGTGAAGTCTTGGCATCTCTTCTTGCTTGGGCCCACTCTGCCATGCTGTTTCTAAAGGCAAGGACGAGAGTCAAAGTCTGGAAAATTTGAGATCAAAATGCTGCTGCAATGAATACCTGGGATTCCCACGTGCCAGGGATATGACGCAGCGACATATCACTTGTACAGCCGAACCTGGGTTCGGCCGTACAAGCCTATACCTTTGTGGTATGACATCTCTATGTCCGGGGTGGGTGACATACCCAGGGGAGGTATGTTTGTACACCCGAACCTGGGTTCGGCCGTACATAGGGTATGACGCAGCGACATACCCTTTGTACATCAGAATCCCCCCGAGTCATTGTAACCTCCAAAGTTGACCATCGTTCGAACGCAGGTTCGGCTGTACAAAGGGTATGTCACCCCCAAAGGTTGACCATCGTTCGAACGCAGGTTCGGCCGTACAAAGGGTATGTCACCCCCAAAGGTTGACCATCGTTCGAACGCAGGTTCGGCCGTACAAAGGGTATGTCACCCTGAAAGGTTGACCATCGTTCGAACGCAGGTTCGGCCGTACAAAGGGTATGTCACCCCCAAAGGTTGACCATCGTTCGAACGCAGGTTCGGCCGTACAAAGGGTATGTCACCCCGAAAGGTTGACCATCGTTCGAACGCAGGTTCGGCCTTACATGGGATATGACAAAACGTCATATCCTTTGCACAGCATGATCCTGCCCAAACACTTGTAAAGTGCAAACTTGACCATCATTCGAACCCAGGTTTGGCTGTGCAAAGGGCATGACACATTCAAAAGTTGACCATCCATCAATCCCAGGTTCGGCTGTGCAAAATTATAAGAAAGGCCAGGGTAGGTGTTTGACTTCAGTGTGCATGGCATGGCATGGTCCAACATGCATGGAGTGTCATCGGACGTGAGTCAACGCGTGGCATGACATGAAGAGCATGTGCAAGTGTGTCAAGTGAGGCGGCACCTGTTTTCCTTTTTCTTGCTTCCCATCGCAAGTTTCCAGATCATCATCCAAAACTGACATGCTAAAATCAGCTGTCAAGCATCAGCGGCCAATCAGACCCATGCGAAGAAAAGTGATGGTAGACAGCAGCGTGCCCACCTGTGCAAAAGTTGATCAAGTGCCTTATACAGGAACAAAAACGAACATACACACGTGCCTCGGCCAGGTGCATGGAATTGCCCAAGAGGTACTTCAGACCTGCTTCGGTCTGCCCACCGAAAGGTGTGCCCTTGTGGCCGAAAAGGCAAGCAAACTCAGCAGCTTTCAGCTCACGGCCAAGAGCAAAGACCCACAACGAGGATGTTGTGCAAACAGTTGGCACCACCCCATCATCCCGAAACTGGGTGCGATCAATGCTCTGGCTTTTGTCCAGAATTGCGAAGCTTGCTGACATGCTCGATTTTTGGGTCACCACATAGGACATGATGTTCATCATTTTGCGCTCGCGGCATGACATAGGGCCCAAGATGCCGTGCAGCTCCAGGCATTCGATGTAAGCTTAGTAACAAAATAGCAGTCACTCAAAAAGCTAATGCACAAACATGCGAAAACCAAAACGTGGCCAGTCACTCCAAGTGCTGAAAGGTTGCACAGACGGTCCAGCTCATCTTTGACATTCAAGTTTGGCAACGTTTTTTTCAAGTACTCATCCTTGGTGGTGACATGATGGAGATTCACATGTTTTTATACAGGCCCGATCTTGTCATCATGTTTGGATTCTTGTAGCTAAGGGTCATGGAGCACTCTCCATGTGCATTGGTCCTCACCCCCTTTGCACTTATTGCACTTGCATGGGTGGTGCTGGCACTTGCTCCAAGGAGAGAGCTGGCAATTGCAACGAACTTGCTGGATCTCACCCAAGGTTGCGAAAGCATGCCTAAAGACCAGGGCAAGGCAATGTAGTCTTAAGTTCTTTACATGTGCAAGGCAAAGCTATGCATATAAACGCACATGCACGAATGCAGGACTGCACAGCAGCCAATCCAAGATACAGGCGGGACCAATCAATCCTTGGTCTTGAAGGTGGAACATATATACTGGATCTGACAAGGAAAAGCAGTAATGTCCGTATTCCATACTAGCAACCAAAAAAGGAAGCCCTAGCTGTTTATACTTTTTACATGTCTGGCAAATTCCATTTAGGTTGGCTCACAAAAAGCCCCCCACAGGTCACATTTTTTCCTGTCTTTTTCGGGGGACCAACCCAAATATTAAATTGGCATGCATGTCCATCAAGAATCTGAGTCCTCAAGTTCAAGAATGTCAGAAAGTCTGGCATCACGTCAGCTGCCAGTGCGGCACATGCCCGGTTCAGCTCCTGCAAGATTTTGTCCTTTGGGACCTGACAGTCGTGGGCACCCACAACATAAAAACGAGGTCGAAGCATGGGGAAGCCGAAGTTCACTGGCGAGCGGTGCTGCAAAGTAACAAAGGTGTACCCCTCAAGCTTTTCTGTGAGGAAGGACTCCAGAAATTTCAGGTCGTTCGACTCCCCGAGCTCGTTGGTGCTTTTCACAGCCATAGTGTCGACGCACTCCAAGACAAAGCATTTGGGTTTCTTCACAGCAATGGTGTGAACAGATGAAAAGAACGGATTTGAGTTCTCATCGTCAAAGCCTTTGCCCTTTCCTCTCCTATAAGCCGGAGCTCATGCCTATGCCTTATGATTTATGAGCCTTATGATTTAAACCCCAGTGGGGCAGACATGTTTGCCCTCCTTGAAGGCAGAAACCCCTGACTTGGTTTTCCAAATCACGTGCATGATTTTTTTTTGGCTGCCGCGACATCCAAAAACCAAAGAACTGGGGTACCCAACCCCTTTTCCACCCCCTCAGGATTGGACTTCCCTATGCCAGAAATTAAGGTGGCACTTTGGAAAATTCATGTGCAATAGCTGCCTTTCCAAAGATGAAGGAAACATTGGTTCCAAAACTTGAGCCTTTGTGTGGTACCACATGAATGTGACATCATGGCATGGCATGGCATGACAAACCTGACATGACAAGCCATATGGACTGAACCTACAGCGCCTTGACCATGGAGTGCAAGGGAATCCAGCGCCATACAGGTCAATGTCTGGAAGGCTTTTCCCACATGTTCGTCAAGATGTTCAGATCCTTGAGTTCACCATCGTCGGTGAGGACCCGCTGGGTCACATCAGCACTAATCACCTTTGGCTTCAGCTTCTGCAGAAACTCTTGGCATTTTGAGTCCCTGTCCTAAGGTGGCTTTAGGTGTCTCTGTTGGTATGCCGAGAAAAGTATAAAATATTTATAATATGAACCTGACAAGTGGTTTGAAAACTTAGAGCTAGGTCTCACATGCACTTTCAAGCTTTGCGCGGAAGTACAAGTTCCCCTCAGAGATCTTGCGCAATTGCTCAAAGACCTGCCTTGGATCTCAAGCGAAACATTGCTGCCAAGAAATGGAAAACATCAGGAATCAACCTATAGCTACATCACCTGTGTCGAATCAGCTGATGAAAACCAAACCCTTCAAGATACGTAATGGCCCATGTTTCACTGCTCATTCCTGCGCAATCGCTCATGAGTGTCAGCTCGCAAGAGATTCGGCCGGAAATCTCGGGAGAGACATCCATGATGTGCTTTGCCAACCTCAGCAGTATGTCGTGACAACTGGTATTGCTAGTTTGTTTTGGTGGCACTGCTTGTCATCACTGGATATTAATAAATTCAAGCAACATTGCTGCCCAGTCTGGTTGGTTAGCTTCATGGATGAAGTCATCATCATCTTTGCGATCCTAGCTGCGTATGACGATTTTGAGGGCTGTCTGTAGAAGTTTGAGAACGGAAAATACAGTTTTGGCCCTTTACCAGCAAGAAGTAATGATAACCCCATTCCTAAAATTGCTGCATGATTTTATAACCAGTTATAAGTTTATTATAACCAATAAATGACAATAAATAACCCATAAGAGGCCTTGGAGGAATCCTGACATTACCATGACTGGTATCCTGTCCTTGTCATGCTTGTTCCTTTTCCTATCTGCGGGCCCACCCATAGACCCAATCTTCTTCCCCGCTGGCGGCTTCACAGCAGAACGCTTGGCCGATGCTGGTCGCTTGGCTGGTGCCTTCGAAGAAGAGGTGGAAGCAGCAGGTCGTCGCATCACGGGCATTGTCAACACAAATGCCACAAGCAGCTAGTTCCTTCAAAGTGTTTCGGGTGACTTTGAACCTGGATACTGCTGCACAAACAACTTAACATGTTCATGGGCACTCATGATCATCATGGGCAAACAGGAAGGTAAGTCATGCCATGTCGTGTCATGTCATGTCATGGCATGTCATGGCATGGACATCATGTCATGTCATGTCATGTCATATCATGTCATGGACATCATGTCATGGACACCATGTCATGGACATCATGTCATGTCATGTCATGTCATGTCATGTCATGTCATGGACATCATGTCATGTCATGTCATGTCATGTCATGTCATGTCATGTCATGGACATCATGTCATGTCATGTCATGTCATGTCATGTCATGTCATGTCATGTCATGTCATGTCATGCTGATCCATGTCGTGTGGAACACAACATCATCCCCAAGATGCCCAAACCCATTAAACCTCCCCAACATCAACAGCAATCTGCAGGAGCCAGACTGCAATGCGAAGAGGGGGGCACTGTGAGCGCCAGACTGCAACAGCTTGGCCCAGGTACCTGGTGCGACAAGACAGGTTTTTTTTGCTGAAGCTCTGCCCTGTGACATTGACATACATTGAGATCACATCATGTGACATGCATGGTAGTCATGCCATGTGACATACATGGGAATCATGCCTAACAGGAGTCACACACAACCATGTTTGAATCGAACAAGTTGTGTAAACAAAAGGAACAGATGATACTAAACAGTGATAACTTTCAGTTAGCAAAATTGCCCCCACCCAATGGCTCACTTCCGGCGGTGGTCGCAACAAGTGGCCTGGCACAGCGTTGTTGCGAGTGCAAACGGAAATAAAGACAGTAAATTTCCAGACTCATTTGTAAATATGTCTCAGCTTTGCTGCAGCTCAGATTGCTCACCAAGAAGCCAAATGAACAACCACATGCCCACATGCAAATTCCACACACATGGCTGCCCTTTTTATCCCTCAATACGGTCGAAACCTGTGATGCAAGCTCATCTCCAGCTGTGCCAGTCTGGCATACACATCCGCTGGCACTTGCACAGTTGGCACAGGTGGCACAACTTGGAATGCTGGGGGCGGCAATTGGAAGGGGAATTCTGTGGCCACTCGCATGGGAACTGATGGAGCTGGCGGAATTGCTGGAGCTCGCGGAACTGCTGGTGGCGGCGGCAAGATGGCAGGTGGGGGGGGAGGAAAAGCTGGTGGAGCAGGCGGTGTAGCAACTCTCCAAGGAGGGGCGCGGATCTCACGAGGCCTTTCCTTGAAGGGAAACCAAGCATGCGACATGTTGCAACTTGCCATCATGGATCACCCAACATGTGCTAAGACATGGCATGGCATGGTATGATCGGGGTTCTACAAGACAATGGCATGGAGCCAGCGTCCTCTTCATTTTCATCATCGTCATCATCGTCATCAATGTCAACGGCCTCAGCGGCCTCCAGAGCAAAGAAAACACAAGCAAGCCACCCAGTTCCATGATATCAGGAAGAGGAAACCTTACAGCATGACCCGCAAACATGAATCGAACCATGTTGAGATTTAACATGATGGCTCGGCTCATCAAATGACATCACATGACATGGTTTTGTTCTTCCTGAGATTTTTATTATTAAGATGACATGACATGATGTGACATGACATGATGTGACATGACATGACGTGACATGACATGACATGACATGATGCGACATGACGTGACATGACGTGACATGACGTGAGATGTTGCGAAGTCCGTTCCTGCGCATCGTCTGTCTGCTCCTCTTTGATTTCCAAGGCCTGGTCGTATCAGCAGCTGGAACTAGCTGGCGAGCAGCGTAATGTTTTGAGGCAACAAACTGGATCCATGAAAGCAGCGTACTACATCCCACCTTTGAGCCCACCAAATAGTCATTCACGTTGGCCACCACTGGCAGATCCATCTGGGGAGTGTCTTCATAGCCTCAATTTTAGCCGCAAGGTAGCTGAAATGCTCTTGCAAGTCAACTTCCGATTCATGACCATAGAGCTTACAACAGTGACAAGTCCGGCGATATCAAGTCAAGGGACGACGCCAGAGATTAGATTCCCTCCTGCAGGTTGTACAGGGAAGAAAAAGGATTGCCAAGATCACACCTGAAGCCTGAAGCCTGAAGCTGGTGTCGAAAATGCAAGCTGCCCTATGCTGCCAAGTTTCGTGAGAGTGGCCACGCTGGGGCAATACAGCTCCACCTCCACCGAGCCCTTGATCCTAAACCAGGTGCTCACCCCACCTCACAAAAGCGAGCCAGAACAGCAAGCAACACCCTTACTACTTACTATGAATTACTCACTTTCAGCTATAACCTCAGCCGTGGATGAACACCTTCCTGTGCCAAGGGGCATGCAAAAGTCACACTTCGATGGCACCCAGCTGAACACCACACCAACACCAGGGTGTTCTTGGCGGCGACCATCACTTCGATCATCAAGCAGAACTGCAACAGGAACTCCATGAAGTTGGCACAACTAAGTTGGGGCAACTGCAGCACACAGACATGCAAATATGTATAAGACAAGTCTGAACATTCACAGTGACCTTTGCAAGAGCCGAAGACCAAGCCCTTTAGAATGCTGACACGGAACGATTCAAGTACTGACTCTTGACAGTGTTTGTCAAATCCGTTGCAGCGGCTTGGCTTCTTGATGCTGCCTGGGCACATGACATGAAGAGAATTTTAGTACAATAGGCATTTTGGAGGGCACACCACATGGACCGGTGATACATGACATCTACAACTATCGATTCAAGTGCCGGACTGTCACTCATGAACGTGTCGCAGTGGATTTCAAGCTTGTGGAAGCCTCAACAAATCATGGGTGCATGGTGGGCTCTTCCATCAGACATCTATGCAGGAAGTTTTAAAGCTTTTGGTATTTCAACTTTGGCAGCTTTGACGCCCAGCAGCGGTTCTTCCATTCAGCAGCTTTGATCGGTGACTTGTACTCATCATGGAACTCAGGCCGCCTTACTAGCTGTTCATCTAAAATTGCCAGACACATGAAAGGAAACTTTCCAGGGGCATAAATAAAACAGTCTCGGTCAACATGTTTGACTGCTCTGAAGGACCGAGGATGCCTGTAGTCAAAGTTCTTTCCCAGGGCAGCAACCACCAATCGACGGGGAGCCATGGCTGGTAGCAGCTTCAAGGTGTCTTTGACAAGGCATGAAATGTCATGGAAACTTTGCACGCTATGTTGGTTGATGGATCGATGTCATGACATGATACTCGAACAAATCCAAAATGCTAGGTAAACATAGTCAGAGATACAGAAGTTGATTGATGTCATGACAATTATAGACAGAGCCCAATCTGCAAAGCAATCAGAGGTACAAAAGTTGATCATGGACCAATCAAAGCATGGCAAACCCCATGGAAACTACCATCACAGATATACTAACTCAGACAGTCTACAGCTCACACAGGCATGAGCCCGCAGCCCCTCAGCAGCAGCAGCAATTCAGTCGGAGTCACCTTGGGCTAGATGAAGACCACGATCACGACTAAGTTCTGATGAGCCAGTCGCCGACTGAGCAAAGCCGAGGGCCAAGGCAGCTGGCAACATTCAAATGCAGCAAGTCATGCAAGTGACAACCTTAACATGCCATATCATGCAGACGTGTAATGAATGAAGGTGGGCCGAACCTATTTACACGACTCTTGAAACCATCATGCTATGCCATGACACTAGCATGCATGCCATCATGAAAACATGCCATGCCATCATGCTAACATGCAATGCCACGACAAACATGCATGAACATCACCAATCATGAATGGGGGTGGCAAACAGGATGACACAAGTTGCAACATGTCTTGCTTGCTGGCATGCCTTTTTGGGATCCTGATCAAGTAGTGCATTTGCGAGCTCATTGATTAAAAGGGAAAACTGAAAACTGGGATCCATTGATGATCTCTGACGCAAAAACCGAAGGCGGGTGACATGAACCAATTGTCACATATCACCCAACTTCCTTGATCCTACGGCAAAAACGAGGGTTGCCATTCTCATTGAGGAACCCCTTTGTAAATCAGCGCTGCTGCTCGATGCCCGGCCTGACAAGTATGCTCCATGCGGCTATTAAGACGATTCATGATGTCTTTATGATATTTAAGACGATATGCTCCCCAATGACCCAACCCTTTGAGCTCAAGACAGTCATTGCCCCTCCTGGCACATGCGGAACCTCAAGCTGCGGCTGGTGACAAAAGCTTGATACACATATATCAACATGGCATGACATGGAATGAAAAGATTCCTGGGTGGCATGACAAGGACAACTCGTGGCTGACTTTGCTGACATTGCTCCAAGAAGTCTTGCAAGTGGAAGCCTTGGACCTTCCGCGACATGCCTATTATGAAGGCCATGGCATGGTAGGCAAATCAACACTTTCAAATTTCATCCGATAACGTGTTACATCATATTCAAATGTCAATACCTCAAACTCAAACCAACACAAAACTTCAAATGCACCCAAACTGATCTCACACTCAACATGAACCAAATACCTCAACATGCCATTCATGAACCAAATACCTCAACATGCTTGCCTGCCTCTTCTTGAATTCCAGATCTGCCTTAATTTTCCACAACTTCATGAGCACACGGGAGGAGGCTTGCCACTGCTTCGGTGGCACTGCCTCTTCCGTAACCTCCTCACACTCCTCCTCCTTCCACATGGGTTCGTCAACCATGGGTTCATCAACCACAGATTCAAGTTCCTGCTTGGGTTCAAACTTGGGATCCACCTTCACCTCCTCCTTCCCTGCAACCTCCGGCTTCGGCTTGGAGTTGAGCTCAAGCAAAAGAGCCTCACGCCTCAACCTTTGCAGCTTTCGTCCCAGCTGAATACTCTTCATTGCACCTCAAACTGTTCATACATGGCGCCTAACATGTATGACATCAAGTGGCATGACACTACATGAAACGACGGAACCTCACATTTCACCACATGAACCTGGCATGAAGTCAAAGTGGTATGGCATCGAGTCAACATGGCATGATCATGGCATGGCATGACGTGTGGCATGGCATGACATCGCACCTGGCATGACATGACATGGCATGGCATGAAATTACATTACATGACATGAGTGGACTTCCAACCCAGGCTGCTGGTCCAATCAAGGACTGGGGGTAGCTCATCCAATTCCCTGAGAGTAAGGGATATAGAGTTCTGGACGATCTTCAAGGTCGGTGGTGGGGCCTTGCACCTCACCATGCAAGGATGTTTTCATGATGAAACCTAACGTGGAGGAAACATGAAAAAACACAAACGTGGACATGGCAACATGTAACATGTAAAGGAAACATAAGGAAACACACAGAGCCTCTTAGGGTTTGGGAACCCAGCGCGAGCAGGCACGACACGCACCATGGCTACAAGTGCAGCAGCTGGAGAAAACAAAAATGGCTGCTGTATTAAAACCCAATCACAAAGCAACGCGAACCCCTGAATGCCACCATGACACAACATGATATAAGATAACCTCATCACAACAACCACGAAACAACATGCTGTGAAACAGTGCGAATTGATCTCTCACAACACGCTACCATGAGACAAGATGATTATATTATTAGAAGATAACCCTATTACAACAAACCCATTCGACAACATTATGTGAGACAAGAAACTAGACCCCTCACAACACAAAATCATGAGACAACATGATATAATAGAATATTCCGATCACAACAAAACCATGAAACAACATCACACAAAACATCCAAACTAACCCCTTCAATAAACTACCCTATAAAAAACATTGTGATAATAAACTAAAATTCCCCCTTGCAAGACAAAAACAAAGACAACATGATGAAATGATCTTTTAAAGCAAATTCTGGATCATTGATACAATCCAACCTGAACCCCTCACCAAACCAGAATCTCTTTTAATCCAGAATCTCTTTTAAAAGATCATTTCATAGTCTTTATTATTTATTTAGGTATTTATTATAGGTGTGTCTGACAACAACTGCTGCCATCCAAGGACCAAAACTTTCAGCGGCGACGAACTGACCTGACTTGACTACCTACCACGGAAGTGCGTCCGAACCGTCCTCAGCGTCGTCGTCGTCTCCTGCGTCAGGCGCCGTAGCTTTGTCGTCGTCTTTGGTCTGCTCTTTCTTCCCCTTGGCCTTGGCCTTGGGGCGTTCTTCTTTGGAATTTTCGTTTTTGCGCTTGCTCCCCTTGGTGACCTGCTCTTGCTGCTTTCCTTGGGCCACGGTATCTGAGCGGTAGAAAGTGGAGCCCTCTGTCTGCATCAGAGTGACGACAAAGTTGGTCAGAATCATTTCCACCTGAGTGGAATGTGAGTCAGACAGCGTCAGCCCGAGGTAGCTGACACGCTCGGCCACACAGGCCTTTGCCAACTCTCCCTGAGAAGTGCTGAGGTCCAACCTGAAATGAAATGCGCGAGGAATTCTGATTCAGGATATCATGTGATATAATTCGGGATATTATTTTTAATCGTCAGGCGATTAACGTGAAACATTATTATTTACCCATACATGGGATGATCAATATTTTAGGGTTGATGTGGTTAGATTGCTTCCCAGGCACACAGCTTTCACAGAGTGGGCTTTGAGAAAACTTCTGTAGAAAGAGCAGGGCAACAAAGCTGCACTGAAGACGCTTTCGCTGGAGGCCTCCTTGGCTTTGTTCATAGCGGCGTCAGTCGGCGACACGCACCTGCCTGTGGTGAGCACCTCCTCCTTTTCTTTCCTGCAGGGACAAGGATTCATTATGTCATGCGCTTGGTTCATTATTCATTATTCATTGTGAGAAAAACTCTGCCGGGGTCCTTGTCAGATGCCAAAGGTCCGCTGCCTGCATGGCGGAAATGGTGCCAAAGACATCTCCAAAGTTGTGCCCTGAGAAGTCAGTGTATGGCTTCTCCGGGACCATGGTTGACACTGGAGCTCCGGAGAAGAGACAAGCGGTGGACCTGGAGGTGTAAGCTCCTCGAACCCTTTGCTTGCGGTCCCGAATGGAGGTGTCAGAAAAGATCAGGAGAACGTCTTTCATTTCCGCTTCGATGGCTTGATCCTTTCTGGCTGCAGCCGGTCGGAACAAGGCTTCTGCTTCTTTGCTGGAACGTTCCATGCCACAGTGCACGAAAACCAGTTCACCCTCTGACGGAACCATGCACTCGTCCCCTTTGCGCTGGCCGTTTCTTGCAATCATCGAACCATGCAACAAGATTCTGAGGGCGGACTGGTCGGGAACAAAGCGCTTTCGGAGAAGTGGTCTCTGACCTGGGCCCATGGATTCTCCCAGCGCGTCTAAGTCAAGATGAGTCAGAACGCAGCTGACACCTCCCTCTCCTTGGAAGTCTTTCAAACCACTTTGGCTCACCAAACTGATGATGCCGTCCAAGGTCTTAGGCTGCACATGGAGAGAGCAATAAGTGCGAACAGTTTGGTTGCCAACCGCCTTCCAATATTTCTCAGACCCTTCAGAGTGTTGGCTGGGCGGCTTTCGCACCTCTTGAAGCTCGTCCTCTGCATGGTCCGGGCCTGCAGCGTTTGCGGCTGCCCCTGCAGCCAAAGCTTTTACTTCAACTTCTTCGTCCTTCAAGGTGGCGAGGAACTGGTTCACCTGTTCTTTCACCTGTTCGTGCTCCAGAACTGCCTCTGGAGCTCCCCCGGACCTCGTGGCTTGTCGCAGGCCGTTGTCATACTTCTTGGTGTAAGTCAGGTCCTGCGATGATAGGTGCCAATTAAATTGCTATGTCATGTTTGAAATGATTAAAAAAGCACAGGACCATTGCAAACAAAAGAACCTGTCCTCCAGCAAGTGAAAGCAGTCAATGCCGGACTTCTTAAGCCGCGCCATCCAGGTACAATCTCCGTCGCCTGAATGTTGCCGGTACACCTCATGGGCAGACAGCTTCTCCTTCAGCAAAGCCCTGTCACCCTCTGCCATACCGCTCTTCGGAAGCAGCACTTCGAAGAAGTGGTCCAAGACCTGGCAAAAAACATGGAAACATAATTACAATCGGGAAAATGCAAGAAAAAAAGTGCACCATATTCTGTGGACCCGGCCTTCTTTTTCATTTCAAAAAGACCTACGAGACCAGTATGGTGCTTGTCTCCGGAAAGACTGCCCTTGGAAATTTCTCCGATTTGCAAGACGTCGTAGGCCAGGCCATCATGCAAGCTCTCCAGCACCCAGTCTCGCATCTGATTTGTGCTTGGCTTGGTCGAAAGAACGTGAAGCCGACTCATCTGGTGGAAGGGAGAACGCGTCCCGTATAACTGTTCCAGCTCCAGCAAAAGTTCAACTGCCCGCGCTGAGCTGAGAATGCCCTTTTTGACGGCCAGAGCTTGCGTCACCAAGTTGACGGTGATTTTGCCATCGCTGTCATCCTCCTTGCGGCCGCCCTGCACGGACAGCAGGCCAAGTGTGTGAAGCTCCTGTACCAGCTGCGCCGGCTGCAATTTTGATTTACAGCTGGGCAAACTTTCGCACATAGTCTTGAACTGGTCAATTTCCACAGCAATCTGCATTGCTGTCCTGCTCATGGACTCATGCTCTTGCTTCACCGCTTGTCTCCGATTGAATGCCTCGACCCACACATTGTGGCCTTGCAAAGGGTCCTGTGTCTCCACAAAAGAAGCCGGCACGCTCAGCAACACAGCACGCCACTGTGCTTTCCATTCCTTCCATTGATCCTCGGAGAGCTCATCCTTGCGCCTTGATGGATCCGTGGAAGTTGTGCTTTTTATTGAATGTGATATGGTCTGGATGTGACAAACTAATTTTAAACAAGGTCTTTAAATTCAGACAAGGCACCGAACAGCGTGAGCGCAGGAAGCCACCAGCGAATGCACAATCTCTTCTGGCGACAGCATCTGAAGGTTCTGGGGTTTGGCGCTCAGAGCCGACTTGTCGGCCAGAAGCTCCACCATACGGCCTGTCATGAAAGCTGGTTTTCCGTTCGGGAAGTAAAACTCTCCCATGTCGAGAACTCTGCTCCGGCTCATCGGAATTCCCGGCGTGGGCGACGCCAGGATCTGAACCCAGAACAAGGAAATGCTGCAACGAAAAACTCTATGAATCCCAAGTGCATGCCGAGCCGACTCCAAGTCAAATGGCTCTTGAACCCCAGTCTTGGATCCGTCCAACTCAGACTTGGAGAGCGGCAAAGGCATTTCCTGGTCAATGCCTGGGAACTCCTGCAAAATTGTCTGGAGGTCCGCCTCTACCAGAGCATAGTAGCCAGCATTCGTTGGGTCTGGAGTCGCAGCTGCAGCCGTGGCTGACTCAGCTGCAGCCGTGGCTGACTGAGTTGCAGCCGACGACGAAGTCTTTTTGCTTGCCTTGGGACCCGTGGATCCAGGCTTGGCAGAAATCGCCGCAGCAGACTTCTTACGCTCTTCGCAGGCCACAGCCTTCTTGGTCTGAAGCTCCTTCTTCACCACCGCTTCTTCCTCTCCTTTCTTAACCCTTTCAGCGAGCTCGTTCATTTCAGCCTTATTCAAGCGCCATGCGGAAATGTTCCGAATCTCAGAGGCTGCTACGGTCATTGCAGTGGCCAGCAACTTGGACAGTGTCTGTCAAGCACTTCCTGTCAGTTCCTACAAAAACACTTTGGGCCGACAGTGGCAAACAATGGGCATGGCTGTCACAGAGGGAATCGAAATGCAGCAGGTGGGACAGGATATGATGTGCAACAGTGATGATAAAATCGTAAATGCCAAAGTTAATAATATGAACCATTATCCTATCATCAATTATATCATGAAGACGAGTGAGTAAGGACACTGGGCGTGCTACCGCTAAACGTCGCGCTGCTTACCCGGGTCTGGCCTGGGCTGGGATCTTGGGTAAGACAAGTGGGCAACGCTCTGTTACGCTCCAACGGGCATGAGTAGAGGAACTGGGGAAATCCCAGTCTCCTTACCCGGGTCTGGCCTGGGCTGGGAGTGGGTAAGGATAGTGGTAAAACTTGCGTGCGTGATGGGGCGGCGATTGTCCCAGTATGCTTAACACATTCCCTACTATCCTTACCCGGGTCTGGCCTGGGCTGGGAGTGGGTAAGGGAACTGGGGAAATCCCAGTCTCCTTACTCGCCTCCGTTGATGCGGCCGCCAAAAAAAGCACTGACGAGGTTCATTTTAAACCTGGTCCCGCCCAGGCTGTTCCGTCGAACAAACGGTCACTCAGCGTTGCAGCGTCCGGACCATTGGCAACTAATCTCCAATGATCTTCCTGTGCACTGAATTGAACTAAGCGAGAGTGTGTCAAGCCTTTCATCAACACACTTGCCAGGACATTGATGCTCATTGCATCGCCAAGGCTTGCATCCACTGTGCGCGCAGGAAGCTTGTGTTCCTCAGCTGCCCTTTGCATGGCTCTGACAACCTTCTTTGGAACTCCTTGTAATGCACCAGCTTCCTCAAGCAGCAAGCGCCGCCTCAGTTTTGGGATATAATATCCTCCTTGTCCCAAGCGCGTGTGCGTCAAGCACGGTGCGCAGTTTGTCATCGCTGCTTGAAATTTTTCCGAAGATCCTACGTCGAGAACATATCCCTTACGCCACATCTTGCTACCTAAAAGTTCTTCGTACCTCGGTAGCTGCAACACCTCGGAGCCGGTCTTGTCCTTTTGGATGAAATGGTGTAAGTCAACCTTCTCTGACCGCTTCTCCGGTAACTTCACTGTTCCAGCGCAAATCTCCTTGGCCACCGCGAGGATGTAGACTCGGGGGCGCGATTGCGGTATGGCGAAGTCCTGGGTACTCAAGACTTGGTGGTCGAACACATAGTCGAGCTTGTTCAAAATTTTGAGAATGTAATTCCAAATTTGCGAATGCTTCTTCTCGAGTATGGCTTTGACTTGTTCCAACACGACCACCTTGGGTCTGCACAAAGCCACATATTCCAACCCTTTCAGGGTCAAAAGACCCCGCTGGTCAGAGACGCCTTGGCGTTTTCCTAACTTGGAGTACGACGGGCACGGATAGCCAGCGACGTAAACGTCGGCTGTTTTCATGCTTTCTTCTTTCCGTAGAAACATGTCAATGACCTGGTGGTCGTCGTAGTTCCAGCCACATTCTTGGGCGACAGCTTGGTGCAACAACACCTTCTGTCGGCTGACCTCTGACATCATGACGGGCTGCACTTGGCTTTGCAGCCCCAGAAGCCTGTATGCTATCAGGTCCGAGCCGTGGCCCGAACAGTCTGATGCAGTGTGAATCACTCTCTGTTTCTTTGAAGCCTTGTGCCTGCCCAATCGAGTGAGCCAGTTGGACGCCAAGGCGTTAACCCGCTCCAGTTGCGAGCGTAGCACCTCCTTGCTCACTACGACAACTTTCTTCTGAAGTGTCCGTTTTGGACCATGGCTCTTGAGAGGAGGCGCTTTGCCGGAAGACGGGCTCGACTTGCCTTTTGTCATTTTCTGTTTGAATTGAAAACTCTGCGGAAAAAGAAATGCAATGCAACAGCGCGAGGGATTACTGACTACTAACTGCTCTACTCATGAATAATGAAACTGTCAGCCATGGCTTAAAATCGACGATCGACAAAGTCTGTTTTGTCTGTCAATGAAATAAACCGACGGGAGAACACAGTCAAGCCAATCATTGAATCTGGAAATTCAATCTTCGTCAACAACTCAGTCAGAGCTGCAGCTTCCGTTTTCACTCCACGCTTTTCAGTGGTCTCTGTCGACACTGTTCCAAAACTCGTAGGCCTCATTTTGTCAGAGGCGAGACTGACTAATCTACGGCCTACGTCATCAACCTTCACTGCAAAACCGACACGTCCGTAGACGCGGTAATTAGCCCAAGAAGTCATTAAGCCATAGCCGTAGCTTATTTTATTTTTCCTCGTGAGCTTCAACCGAAACTTCCTGCGAATCCGTTTCTGGCTTGGGCAGCAAAACGCTTTCAAACACCGCAGGTGCATGCGCGTGGGATGCCTCTGCCACTCGCCAGGATTCATCAAGAGTAAAAGGTTCCTCCACCGCAGCCTTAGCTGCAGAGGCCGGACTTGTGTTAGCCCCCTCGGTTCCTGAATCGCCCGCAGGCTTCTTTCCTTGTGACCCCTCAGTGATGTCAGGCTGAAGCACCGGCTGGGGTATGTCTTGCGCGAGGCCACGGGCCAATCTGTTCATGAAGTCGAAGGAGCGATCCGTGATTCTCCTGAGCCCATTTTGAATTCGATCGACCTCCTGCTGCTCCAGGCCAAGTTCCTGGATAAATGTAGGGTTGTCTTGTAGTCGGTCAGTGAGGTCGTCGAACAACACGACCGCCTCCCTACTTTCACAGGCAAGGAAACACGCCTCTTGGTATGTTTGCACCCTATCCATGGCCGAGTTGTTCTGCGGTCTGTTGTGTACCGGGCTGAGAAGCAAAAGCTGCAGACGTGGATTGTTACAGCGGCAGGTAGATCAGGCAGGAAAGATGGCGGGAATCGTCCACAAATTGAGCGATTAAATCTATGTCCTCCATGCGGTGTTATACAGTATCACCTATTATTATTATTATACCAACCCGGGTGTCATGCCCACATGGATCCAATGAAAAATATGATATCAGAGCCAGAAGAGAAAATCTATAGTATAGGCAAGATGGTGGCTGTGATGTAAAATGATTTCCGGAAAACTGTCCCCATGAAAAAAGGGATAGGTTTCCGATAATACCCTTTTTATTGTCTTATATAGTCCTCATGTCTGTCGTGTATGCTGTCAACATTGACGATCTCTGACAGGCAACTGTGACTGATTGACATGTTTGTTTCCATGTGTTTTGCGCCTTGGCCGACCACAATGGAACTCCCAAAGAATTTACTTCGTACCTAGTATTAAAACCGAAAACAAACATCCTCTTGGAATTTTTGATACGGGCATTCATTCAATGCATGGCCTCTGCTTCTCGGGTTTGCAATTTAGACCGACACTGCTCTGCATGCGTGCTTTCCACACATGTCGTTTTTTCCCGCAAGCATCCCCTGTTGCAGGATCGTTCTCAAGCAGCTGCTATCTTCACACGGGAGCTTGCCGTCTTGTTGAGACAAGTTGCCGTGAGCCAACGCAAAAATTCGGTGACAGTAAAACACTTCACCCTGGTTTTGTTGAAACCAGCTGGGATGGCCTCCCCCGCACCCCTGAGATGGAGACTGGGCTTTCGCCCGCGGCCTTTCAAATCTTCCGCCCTCACTGCCTGCCACCCACGGGCACATGCCTCACGTAGCAGTAGAGTCATTCCTGGCTCTTCGGCCTTGAAAGTGTCAGTCACGAAGATTGCAACTTGTATCTCCTGACCCGGGTGAAACGTCAACTTCACACCTCCTGCTCCAAGCAAAGCAGAAGCTGACATCAAGACGGATCCACTCAGAGCAGCCATGAAACGCACTTTTCTTTGCACCCTAACGAAGTTTGAGACCACGAAGAGCTTGGCTTGCCGCAGGTCCTGGACATGGGTAGTAAGATGCAGATGCTTGGCAGGAACAAAACAAAAACAAACGTGCAAATCAATGGCAGGCAATTCACCAACAAAGGATTCCCCCAGGCTCCTGAGTTCTCGTCGCAACCCCATGTGCCGTCAAAGATTGAGACACTGCTTGCGCCTTGCCGCCTTCCATCTTGGAGCAACACCACGCTGGGCCACTGAGACCTTGGCAGGCCCACTGATGCCTTTTCTTCGTGGAGGTCAATTTACCGGACACTTCGTATGCCTGTCTTTTTTTTTCCTGAGACCATCTCCTTGTCGGTTTGCTTTGGTCAGTCGCAAGGCCTCTTCCTGAACCTCTTGGGTGACCTCATCCGGCAACAAACAGCCATCTGCCAGAGCCTCAGCCTTTCGTTTCAAACCCTGTTTTCTCTGGAAATTTCTTTCCTTCTGGGAAGATTCTGTCAACAGCTCGGAAGGTTTCCGAGGAGGTGTTTCGCATTTTTGCACTGCTTCCAGCAATGCTTTCTTTCTTGTGCGGTTCCAGTCGGCAAAAGATCCGGTCTTCACTTTGCCTGTGACACCACAATCGAACCTTGGTTTTGTCCGCGGCCGGGACCTTCCACTGGACAGTAGGGAAGCGTAGATTCGTCGAGCGGCTTGAATCACTTCAGGTTGCACTGCTGGGCTCCTGGCCTGCCCATCGCCCATGACAATTGCAAGGCGACGGTCTGTGTCCACAGAAGCGTTGGAAAGTTCCACAGGACTTCTCTTGAGCTTCGAGAATTGTTGCTCCACTCCACTTGTGGCTGCGGTCCAACATTGACAAGCTGCCATGACTTGTATCAGGGCCGTGGCCTCATACTTCCTTCCCTGGGCACCTTTCCGACTGCTTGTGCGTTGAAGGGCTTCCCTCCATGCTTCTCTGTTACTCAAACCTGCTTGCTTCTTCAAAGCTGCAGCAATGGGCAGCAAGCGGGCATACTCTTGCTTCAGTGCCTCAAAAGGTACCGAATACACTTGAGCCAGCCTCTCCAAGTTCCGTAAAACATCCGCACTGCAGTCACGGCCTCTTACGCAGTCAGACAAATGAAAAACTTGAAATGCCGCCGCCAAGTGCCAACTCGGAAACTCATGCGCGACGACTTCCTCCACGAGAGACACCCATTCCTGCAGCCGGCTGCAACGACGACAAGATATGATACAGTCAAATTTAATGGCAAACTGACACAGCCCCCCCCATGGAAAAGCTAGGCTAAGCACCGGGGTCCTCCATGACTGCAAAAGCCCTGTCCAAGTCTCGGTTCGAAACTTGGATGTCCAACGCAAACCCATCCTGAAGAATGGTCACGGGAATTCTTCTATCTAAGAATTCTTTCGTGAAAGTGGGTAGTGTCAACACCTTCCGGTCAACGAAGAGAGACCTTGCCGAGAGGACAAAATGGCTGGCTCGTAAATTCAAATCAGCAACATCAATGTCTTCACGGTCGCATTCCCTTGTGTAGTCGTTGCTGATAGCTGCAGCGTCGGTAATCATTGCAAGCAAAGCTGCTTTGAACGAACTGAAATTTTGGCAAAGCTTGGTTGCCCAAGTTGCCTCAGCACCTCGCATGGCTTGGACCCTGCCGCACACATTGAAAGCTGCTTGCAAATTCCGAATTATCCGGCTGAGAGGATTCAAGTATGACGAGAACCTGTGCTTCGCCGCAGACATGGAGGTGCAAAGGTTTCCAGTCAAGTCGGAGTCCTCTTTGCATTGGACGGCCTTGGCCCACCATTGGCTGAGGATGTGGCTGTGGTGCACCTTCTGAGCGAAGCTTTCGGACCCATGGATCCATTCGTTTGTCAAACTTTTGACAGGTTCCAATGCAAGGAATGGTCTCTTCAAGAGACGGGTCGATGCATGCGCCGCATCTCTGCCGACGATCTTGCAATTTGTAAATTTGGATTGAAAGTCGGTCGCGGCCCTACGGCGCCCTCTCTCTAAGTCACCTGCTAAAAGTTCGGATGCAGCAGCGTCACTGGCCACCATGGTGACCCTGTCCTGAATCTTCCGTAGAAGTTCAGAGTCGACCGGCTGCTCGCTTTCCTTGGCTTGTCTGGGAGGCTGCCGCATCGGTTGGCAGAAGTTCTGCATGATTTCAGCAGTTGCTTCAGCTATGGACTCAGCAGAACCTGTCACAGGCTGCAAGCCAAGCGCGCCACTGATGGTGGTTAGGTCCGGTAGAACAGCGCGGAAGCGCACAAGAAGATTTCCTTTGCGTTCGTCTCTCATCAATGAGATGCAGCGAGACTCTGCCAGCAAAGTCCTGTTGCGAGCACAAACTGCTTCCGAGAGGGCATACCGCACTTGAGTTTTTTTATCGGACGATCCGCCACCTTGTCTCGCAGATTGTCCTTGCGTCATACCCTGCAAACTTGACTTAAAAGCCTCGTCGCTAGGGGCTCCGCAAAGATCATCTTGGCTTGCTGTCATGTGTCCCTTGGACTTCTCATGCCTCTCCAAGTTGTGTTTCTTCAACACGGAAGTCGGAGGTTGTTCAAAGTTGGCCCATGGGCCCTCCAGACCGGCTTTCGCGCATAAGCTGCAGCCGAGCTTGGATTCTCCATCGACCAGAAGCACTCTCAGCCATGGTTTTTTGTAAAGTGACCATGACTGCTGCACGGCGCACAAGCTGCACTTGTGCACTCCTCGCTTGCAAGTCTGAGTGTGTTCAGTGACCAACTTACCTGGAACCAAGTGCTTCAACTTGTCGCGAGAATCTCCCATGGCGCGAAGAAGGAAACCCCTGGAGAGCGAAGAACTTATTGTATTCATTGTATTGATAGAATCTGATGATAGTCATAGTACTTTAAGGCTTACTTAAGATGCATTCAATGTGATTGACAGTATTGGAGCTTTGAATTGAAAGATGCGGAAATCTTCAAATTTTTGATCATACCTTAGATGTTTTAAGGTGCGTGTTTCAAAACCCTGCAGCCGCTGACGGCAACACACAGAAAGAGTCACAATTCAATGCAATGCTTTCGCCCCTCGAAATGAAGAAATCAAGCAACTACGACAGTAGTGGCTGGCAGTAGTGGCTGGCGGCGCGACATCGACTCTTCTTATTTTCTGAATAATAATAAGTCAAGCAGCACCCGCGGCAGCAGCAATTGCTCAGATGATGTGAGCTGACTTGACACACACATGTCCGTAGACAGTGACATTTAAAATTGTCCGCAGACACTCCCCACGGCATGTGTCCGTAGAGTCCGTAGACTAAGATTTTCCTGTCCGTAGACCAGAACCAATGATGTGTCCGTAGACCCGCAAGTCAGTCCGTAGACTATGATTTTCCTGTCCTTAGACCAGAACCAATGATGTGTCCGTAGACCAAGTCAGTCCGTAGACTATGATTTTCCTGTCCTTAGACCAGAACCAATGATGTGTCCGTAGACCCGCAAGTCAGTCCGTAGACTATGACTTTCCTCTCCATAAGACGAAGTGCAGATCTGTTACTTTGTTCGTGGACAATCATAAAGATTCATTCAATGCGGTCCGTGGACTCGAGGATCAAAAAATGATCAGACCTAGTCCGCAGACAACTCCGTATTTAAGATGTCCTTCAATATTATTCCTCGCGGGTGAAAGACAAAACAGCATTTCCATGGCAAGGTAAACAGACTGCAGATGCGATGGCAAACCGATTTTGAGCAAAAAATAACTCTGCTAGGGCGCTCGGCTGTGGAAGTTGACCAAGGGCTTACAATAACAATTTTACAAGTGGATTTATCACGACTAAGCTCACATATAATTTACACACCATTAACAAAATATATATATATATATAATCATGGAACTTGAAACTTATTATATACAACACCTGTATGGGGTATCCAACCTTACTATGTTTTCCCTTTGTAGGCATTCTATGGATATCAACTGGAACGCTGGGCAACACTGTTCCCCTGATCACTTACATTGAAATAATGACGAGGTGGATGCTTTGAGACAACCATAGGAACAAGAGGACCCATGCCAACCAGATCTGTTCACGCATGGAGTGAATGACTCAGTGGTCAGGTGGAATGTTTTATTATAGATAACCAAAACCAAAATAAAACTGGTCACACTGTCAAAGAGCTTAATACCTTGGCATTAGTGGTGGTGGAATAGTTTCAGTGACAGACTGGATGCATACTTGAACACATCACACACACTTCACTTAGCAACAAAAAAGACACCAAGAGCAACCAAGCTACTGCTAAACAACGCTAAGTCTCTGGGTTTTGAGTTCTTGGCTTTTTGGAGTCTCTGTCTTGCCGTCCATTCTAGGAAGGCCTTTTCCGCACTTTGCATTCGCTGGAGCTGGCGATCCATCTCGCCAGAGGCGTTCTCTACCAGCAGCTCTGGACATTCACTGGGGCCGCAAGGGAAAAGTCGCCCGGTAGCATCAGGCGCACGGCCAAGGGCATGTTGGATGGGCGAATAGCCTCGGATCAGTTCTCGGCTATTAAAGGTCCTAGTGGCTTCAGCCAAAACTTCTGCTGCGGTGACTTCTGGGTCATCTTCAGCTATTTTGTTCATGAGAGTCTTGGTACCCTGAATAGCCTGTTCACAAATGCCCACCTTCCAGTGAGCTTCACCCGGAATAATGTCCAACATTATCTGGTGCCTATCACAGTATTCTTGAACCACATGACTCCTGAAGCTACCATCCGGATCAACCCTGAGCTGATTAGGAAAACCAAAATACTGAACCCAATGTTCCCCAAACGTTTCAACAAACTGATTGGCAGTAAGGTGACTTCTTTTCCCCGTAAGAACAATTTTTCCAACACGAAAACGGCATCCCTCATCAACGAACATCAAAAATTGATAGGACTCCTTAGTTTGTGGGTGTTCCCAGTGCCCAATATCCCCTGACACAGACGCCCATTTTGGGGGGTGAGGCTCCAAGGTGGCTAAAGGCCGTGGCTTCGGTCTACCCCGTTCCTTACAAACTGAACACTCAAAACGTTCGGCTTCCCTGAGCACATCCTCTGACACTCCCCTGCGTCGCAGGGCTTGCACCAGGTGTCTGGTTGGCCCGTGGCCAGTGGCAGCATGCAAGAGGTACAGTCGTTTTCTTATTTCTTCAACAGTCAGACCCTGACCCCTTTTTTGGTTATCTTCCCCAACCAGAACTTCGTGGTCCCCCTTACTGTCACACTTCACATGATTGGTTCCCTTGATTCTTTCATGCTCATCATGAACACATGAACCGCAAACAAAACCATGTTGAGAATCATGAATGTGGTGACAACTGCAACTGATCCCATTACCAAAAGTTTCCCCAATTTGGTGGTCTCCCACAAACTCCCTTTTAAGGTCTTCATCTTCCGCTCCATGAATCAACGCATCACAGACCCTTCGGGCAAATTCGGGGGTGTAATAGGCAGTTTTGTTGGTAAGGGAACCCTCGCACTTCACATGTTTCTGGTGAGGCCCACAACTACATGGCATGTTCATCCTTTTTGCCAACAAAGCATGAGTGGTCATGAGTTTCCAGCCTTTCGAAATTGGGTTTTTCTCATCATCAACAAGACCAACACGACAACCCCTTACCACAGCAAACCATGGATTGTGTTTCTCCACCAGTTCCTGCATCATTGGAAGCCTCCATGCCTGACATGATTGTGACCATTCCCAAGTGACATGTATACCATGCTGAATACAGTACGTATATATGACACTGCAACCGACATACTGTTTCATGGCAGCTTTGCGCTTCTCAGAAAGGGCCTCCTTCTGAGCTTCACTTCTCTGATTGATGTTTTGCATCACTGAAAAAGGTCCACAAACCGGAGAAAGCCAAACATGTTTTGGTTTATAATGGTCAATATCTTGAATGACTTTGTGAATCCCCTGGTTGGTTCCTAAATCATACTCATTGAAAAGTGAGCAGCGTCGGGCCGCACCCTCGTCACCTTTCTTTTGTTGCATGGTGCGAGACAGCACGCTGTCGGCCGAACATGCCACTTCCAGCAGCTCTATGCGCTGGTGTGATAGCAGGGCCTCAAAGGCATTCGAAATCAATCTGTCACTGCAATGGGACAAGTGTCTTACTTTTTGCTCAGGTAAGGCTTCCCATGAGCCCCTCCAGAGCTCACTGTCGACCTGCATTCCCGCCTGTGACAAATTAAAGTTTTCTACACTCCCAGCTGAAGCTACTGTGGGATCGGCACAAAAGAGCCTGTTGATGACTCTGTCATCTCGGAGACACTGGATGCTTCGACCTTCTTGTGAGGCCTCTCGGCTTTCAGATTGTCCACGTCCTCCTTGAGGGCGTGCATCATCTGCATCATCTGCATCATCATGTTCTCGGTCTTGCCATTCGAGCCGCTGGCCGGCGTCGATGTGTTCTTGTAGCCGCTGGAGGTCTGCTTGTAGGTCGGCATCGGATGCTGTGCCTCTGGGCTCTGGAGCCAATTGGCCAGACGGGCCAGGCGGTAGTCGCATTCCCCCTCGGTGGCGGTCTTCACGACCCAGCTGGCATACTGTGGGTGTTGGGCTAGAAGCTCGTGGTACTGCAGACTGCAGTGTTCCCCGAACCCCACAGGGTCCTCCGGAGAGGCGGCTGTGGTCTGGTAGATCTTCTTGGTGCCCAAGCGCTGCAGCTCCTGAATGGTCTCGGTGCCGCGGGTCTTCACCATGAGCTTGTTGTTCACGTAGTCCACCAAGTCGGACTTCTTCTTGCTGGCCTTGTTCAGTTCGATCATGGCATGGCGCATCGGTGGCCGTACCTTCCCTTTCTGAGTGACCATCCCGTTGGCTTCCTTGAGTTCCAAGAGGCGACTCTCGATCTCCATGATGCTCCACTGTTTTGGAGCTGTTTCGCCAAAGGTCATCAGGAGCTCTTCCACCAATTCCTTTCTGGTGGCACGAGGCATGGCTCTTGTTCACTGTCTCGTTGGGGATCTCGTCTAGCTTGTGCTGGAGAGCTGCAGGAGGAGGTTGTTCTGGCTCTGTACACTGACTGCTGTCTGAGATTTTTCCAACATGTCCATGGAAAACCTGGGAAAGTGTTTCATCATCAACAACCACATGATCATGAACAACACACCCAACATCATCATGATTGCTAGGATCACCAACCATGTTCAAGGGGTTGTGAAAAGTGCCTGAAACATCGCTACTGACCTTCCTTTCCATCTCAGGCGCACGGAAAGAAAGGAGTTGTCCCTACAGGAAAGCATTCAGGCTCGGCACTGGCTGTGCAGTGCTCTGAGCATCACTGTACCAATCCTGAGTCATGGGCAGCAGCTGATGGCCGGTGGCCGAACGTTCCATCTTGATGATCTTGGACGGGTTGATCTTGCGGAAGACGACCATGTCCTCAGAGAAGTCGATGATTGCTCCCAAGGCCCGTAAGGACTCAATGGAGAACAGCACAGGTCCTGCTCCCGCATCCAACGCATGTACTTGTACTTGTCCAGGTTTGCCATCAGCTTGAACCTCGAGTGAGGCTGTGGACACGCACTGGTTCTTTGATGAATTCCCAAAACCAAACGTAGGCTTGTTCTCCAAGTCAAGGTCGGCCAAACGAGAAGTCCCATGCTTGTACTTGTTGAGGGCAATGATCTTCTCGAGGGCCACCACGCTACCAAGGGTCTTTGTAGCCCCTCCATCAACGACAGCCTTGCCTTGTTCGACGGCCATCTGAGTGGAGATAGGCCCTATGCTGTTGGTGTCGGCAACATCAAAGAAGGCCTCTGGGCAAGCATCGGAGAACCCAGCATCCAGGT